TGCCCTTTGCAAGAAAACAAGGTGGATATTCTGCTGGTTGCTCACACCTGTAATCCCAGCACTTGAGAAGCTGAAGCAGGTTTTCTGAGAGGGAGAAAGTTCGGGCTGTATCATCAGTTCTAGACCAGTGTATGGTAGTGTGAGACTCTGCCTTTAGGATTTAAAGTGTTCTATTACACCAGGAGCCTAGCTCGTATGAATCCGGGGTACTAAAACAGGAAATAAATATTTCCACACAAATTCCTGATGACTTCACACCCACATTCTAAAGTCTAATTAGATTAATTCCCCAGGGCATCTGTGTATTCTTGGTAGTGTGCAATTTTTCAGTGTCAAAATAAAGCCTTATTCTTACGTGTGGGTGGGGCCGTGAGCTATGCTTGCAGGGAAACATGCATCAGGGCTGAGCTAGGAGTCGGGGATGGCGGACCGGAGCCTCAGTCCTTTCCGTAGGTCACCAAGGCCAGGTGTAAGCTCCAGAGAGCCCCACAGTCAGCATGGGCAGATGCAGAAGTCTCAGAGCATGCGCAGATGCAGAAGTCTCAGAGCATGCTTGAGATCATGTTCTCCCCAGTCCAATCACTGCGCATCCACGGTTTCAGAACTAATTCACAAACTGCAGGATGTGAGGTGACTGCATCGCCCCTGGTCTGCCTGGGTGCTGGCTTTGCTTCATTTCTGCTAGCCAGAAGGGCTGGGGGCAAAGCTTGTCTGGAGGAGGAAATAGAAGAGACTGAATTTGCGCCGGTGGCCTTCCTGTGCTCATCCCAAACAGAAACTTGTGATGGGTAAAGGCCAGGGCACTGAGGAAGGACTGAGAGAATGGCTGTTAATGTTCTATCTACTCCCATTTAGAAGTCAAGGCTAGCAGAGCTCACAACTCTCCCAAACCAGACACTGTTAATTCTCACTACTTCTGGTTGAAAAAGCATCAGTATTGGGTAGGTTAACACCTTAACACATTATAAAGTACCCTAATATAACTTGTATAGCTACCAGGTCCAAGGGCCAGGAACCACAGAAAAGACATTGCTTTTCAAAGGCAATTTTCACACTTGTGTATATGTACATATTTGTGTGTGTGTGTGTGTGTGTGTGTGTGTGTTAGGAGTGCCAAAAGCACGTGTATAGGGGATGAGTGTATAGGGGATGAAAGAGAAACATAGCCAGACTGTTCCTTTGGGGACAAAGAGCATAAGAGGAGGTGACAATCTCTCTATCACCTACTCACTTTTACTGGAAATCTCGAACTGTTCTAAAAAAGCCTATGCTTATGGTATCTAAGAATATATGTATACATATATAAACACAAAACACTTAATATTATATATAATACATGTACATGTTAATAATTATATATATAATATATACATTGCACACACACACCAATCTAGCTCAGAGTCTTACACACTCTAGACAAGTGTTGCACCAATGAGGTAGACCCCAACTGATGAATCTTTTGTAGAAACATAAATCTCCTTGAGATGTTGATGTCCCAGGCTAGCATGTGCTGTCAGGAAGGTAAGCTCCATCCTCCAGCCTGTGGGAGGGGCTAGAGCATTGAGGCTTGGGGCATCTGGGGCAGCAGTTGTTCAATGTTAAGGAGTTACAGAAATGATTTCTTATAACCCAATTACAGGAAGATTGCTGAAATGTGTAATGAACTGATATCCCCTTTTCTCTTTTTGCCCCACTGGAGATGAACTTAGGGCCTCCCACATGCTAGGCAAGCCACCTATCCTGGAGCTCAGGTTTCAGTTAAAAACCTAATCACCTTAAAAACTGCCGTTTAAGGAGGCAGAAGCAGAGACAGGAGGATCTCTGTGAGTTAGAGGCTAGCCTGTCTACATAGTGAGCTCCATGTCATCCAGGGCTACAGTTAGACTGTGTCTCAAATAAAACAAAAACAAACAAACAAACAAACACATATTTAAGCTTGCCATTTATACTTTGTCTTTCCCCCACCCCAGTACCAGGGGTAGAACCCAGGCTTCATGTGTGAAATGCAAGCTCTCTACTACTGAGCTAAGGCCCCACCCCTTTCTGTCTTCTAAATGTTTGACATAAACTCACTATAAATTGCTCAGGTGGACCTTGAACATTCAGTCCTTCTGTCTCGGCCTCCCACTAGCTGGGATTACAGACCTGAGCCAGCAGGCCTGGCTTTATTACACTCTTGATGTAAAAGTTTTTCTAACTTCCTGACATTTTACAGTTTTTCAAAGCTCACCTACACTGCAACTGCTTTCTGCCTTAAAGGGGTTTTTAGAAGAAAAGGGTGTCTGTCACTTCTTAACAAAGCAGGATGTGGCTTAGGAGTGGGCTTTTTTACCTAGAACAAGTGTTGGAAACCAGAAGGGTTTTTTTTTAGGGACTTGATGGACTTTCACTAAAGTCCCAAGACTGCATAAAATCTGTTAAGATGTGTTGTTGGTCATGAGCACTGCAGCCACCTGCTGCCAATCACTCCTGGCCACCCAAACTGTGCCATCGCATCTAGAAGTATTATTCTGCCAAGCGAGGCTTTAGTGACCCATCATTATCTCATTAGCACAGTGAGGTCCCAAAGCCACCATGTAAGGAAAACCCTCAATCAGAGCCTTGGCCTGGCCGCCAGGACACTACACATCTCCAAGCTTCTGACCACTAGACACAGACGGAGACAGCAGGCTTCGTCTGCTCTGCTTTCCTTCATTCCCCTAGGCTTGCTTTTGTTTCCTTCCTTCCTTCCTTCCTTCCTTCCTTCCTTCCTTTCTTCCTGGAAAACTGTTTTGTTTTTGTTTTTCGAGACAGGGTTTTTCTGTGTAGTCCTGGCTGTCTTGGAACTTACTCTGTAGGCGTGCGCCACCACTGCCTGGCTCTGGAAAACTGTTTTAAGATAGCTGATTATGAGCATTTTTGCCTTAAACCCCAAGTTTTGCACTAATTTTTCTCGACAGTGCTATAACATCCGTTCCCTCCATTAAACTGTAAGCTACCCAAAGGCAAAGGCCTGTACTCAGCAGGCCTTAAAAACGAAACAAAAAATAAAAATTAAGCCACTCTTTTTTTTTTTTCATTGCCATATACTTCCTAAACAATATGGTAGGCCAATTTGCTATTGGTCATAAGTAAGCACATATATTTATCAAGTAAACTAAATCCAAATACTTCCTATCTCTCACCATTTAAAATATTTCCCGATATTCTCTTCTTTCCACCTCTGGTGCTAAGTTCAATCCCCAGTGCCTCGTCCAGGTCCAGGCCAGACAAGTATTTTACCTGAGTCACATCCTCGGTAGCTTTCTGGTTTGCTTTTTCAGACAAGGTCTTGCCATGTAGCTCCTGCTGATCTGGGACTCGCTATGTATTCCAGGCTGGATGCAAACTCATAGCAATCTTCCTGCCTCAGCCTCTCCAGTGTTGGGGATTACAGGTGTTAGCCGCCAGGACTGGCTCTTGTGTTTGACTTCCTGTCTTCCACTCCCAAAAGATGCAGAAAGGACAGCCATGCTGTCAGTTCTTTCACCCAGCTACCTGCCCTCTTTTGGATCACCGGCTAGAACATTCATCAATATGGCTACAAAATATCCACCGCCCTAAGTCACTCAAAAACCAAGTATTTTCTACCATTCTGTCACTGACCTTGACTTCTGATGTGCCCCCACCCCAGGTGAGGAAAAAAAAATCAACTAACCAAACAATATACACCCCCAGAGCAGAAGGGAGATCAGAAAAGATAATAGCACTCCTAGTCGAACAGTTTTGCCTAATGTGGGTGTGTACAAGTTGTTTCAAACTATGTGTTACATTTATTTTCAAAATGCGCATTTGCACCAGTCACCTGACATTTTGACAGCCTTATGAATGGGAATCCCTCCGACAGAGGATGTTTATGAAATGAGTTATCTTGGGAGCCAGTGCTCCCAGGATTTTAGTATGGGCAGAAGCTGCTGTAGTCTAAGAAATGGTTATGTAAAAACAATCAAGGCAAAGAAAATAATTTGAGGAGGATGTACTGCATTTCTCTAATTGCCCTAACCTTATTGTGACATGACATTTCTTGGCCTCATCTTGGATGGCCAACACCACCCCACACTTTCCCCTCCACACCCTTCACAAATGGAATTCAGAAAGGTAGTCAGCGGGCACTTAGGAGTACATCACTGAGAAGGACGGTCTCGGGCATATTTCGGCGCAGTAAGCGCGGTTTCATCCCCACCTTCACCCAGGCCATTGCACCGCCAGCCTATACCCAGACTTTCCCCTGGTGCTCGAGTCCAGAGGAAGGCAGGGCAACAGGCCCTGCCCCTCGGCAACAGCCTCCCTTTTCCCGGAGATGCCCTGAGAGCTGCCCTGTCGTCCTCTGATCGTCCTCGATGGGACCGTTTCCAGACACAAGCTGCTCACTAACCCACCTGAACCCCCAAACGAAGGATCCCCCTTGAGGTCATTCCCTCTTGAAACCGTTTTGTTTCCTCTGGACAGCAGAACAGAATCAGGCCCCCGGCAACGGTCCCTTGATGGTATCCTATGATCTCCCCTACTGCCGTCCCTCTGCGGACCAAACACCGCAGCCCCCCCTCAAATTCAGAATCTGAGAGTCCCCAAGATTACAAGCGTGCCCCAACCGCTTCGGGGCTAAAGTCCTCACTTTCAGAGAGAAGATCTTACCCCCTCGCACTCGGCACCCCCAAACCCGAGACTCGAAACCCTGCGCCTGCCAGGCCGCCCCGCCCCCGGGAGTAGCGCGGGATCCGCCCGTACCTCCGAGCGTATAGATCGGCCCCACAGCCCCGACCAGGGGCGCGCGCAATTACGCAGCCCGGCACAGCGCGGGCCCCACGCCCCCGGGGAACGCCCGCGGCTTGCCGCTCCAGGAGCCGGGACCCAGCTCCGCGCCGCCTCGAGGCCGCCAGGGCCACCCGATCCGCGTTCCCTTTTTGCTGGGCAACGACGCATGCCGAGGCCACTCGTTTCGCCTCCCGCCCAGGCGGCCCGCGGCCCGGCCCCTCACTCACCCAGAGCTCAGTGCCCCAGCTCATGGTGCAGGGACCGGGAAAGGGGCCCCCGACCCTGTTCGCTGGCGATCGCTTCTGCCCTCCGGACTCTGCGAATGCGGAAAGCCCGCCGCTTCCTCCGGCCCGCGCCTCCTCTAGCCCCGGCTCGCCACCTCTCGTCGCTCCGCGCGGAGCAAAATGGCCCGAGGAAGCAGCAGCAGCAGCGACCGCCGCAGCGCGCCCGCCCCGCACCGGAGCCGAGGGGCGGGGCGGGGCGGGACGAGAGGCGGGATGGGGCGGGACCGGACTGACAGCTCGTGCATACTGTCCCGCCCCCAGGTTTCCTTTGGCGCCGTTGCCCCGGGGGTCTGGAAGGACACAAACCCCTGGGGATTTCTCCACGTCATTGGTCTTCGGCAGCCAGTGCGCCCAACTCTCTTGGGACCTGCGCTCTGTCTTCAGACTGGGCTGCTGGTGATCACGTCGCTCCATCGCCTCCTGCCTTCTACCCACCGCGCCCAGCGCTGTTTTGCATTTCAGAACTTTCGCCTGGTGGCCACTGTCGCCCACCTTAGAGGCTCCTGGAGAGGCCAAGGAGCTCGACAGCGCGTAGGAGTGGGGCCTGGAACCGTGGCGTCGGTGCACAGTGTACACAGGACGTTGAGGAGAACAGCAATCCAGCAGATCCGGGAACTCAGGGAAGGAACTCGAGAATGTACGCCCAAAGAATTATAATCTGTCCCTTTTCCTACCTGTTAGCCGAGAATCTCTGCAGTGAAGTTCTGTTACCCCACTGAAGGACAGCAGAATTTTCGAAGGGCCCACAGAGACTTTGGAGGTTCAAATCCAGCCTCTGCACTCTTTGGCTGAGTGGTCTTGGACGGACTTCACCTCTATCCAGGAAGAGGGCCCCAGCTACCAAAAGGAGGCAGTGTCTAGCCGGCCTAGTGGTGTGAACAGAGGAGGTGAACTGGCCAGTGAGTGGTTGATGCAGAATTGTAACCATCTCAGAATCCCTCAGGTCCTATTTCCACAACCTTTCTTTCTCTGAATACTGAGACCTCTCCTCTTCTAAACGATTCCCCACTCCCTGCTCTCCCGAACCTGTTCATCTGTTTCTTCCTGGGAGTTAATTGTCCTTAAAGGGTGAATCTCAGCCCAGTGTGTGAGGACCCATACTTGGAGTCTCAGCACTCCTGAGGCAGAGGTAGGAAAACTGCTGCAAGTTCAAAACCAACCTGAGCCTCATAGTAAGTACCAACCAGGATGACCTGGACCTCAAAGGGAAACCTTGACTAAAACAAAATAACAGCAGTAATAAACAATAAACAATAACGGTGTGGTGTAGGGGCAGAAGCAGGTGGATCTCTGTGAGCCAAAGGCCTGAGTCACAGGTCACCAGCTACATAGTGAGACCCTGCCTCAAAAACCAAAACTAAGCACAAAATTCTAGATGTGTTTTAAAAGGAAAAGAAAAGAAAGAGAAAGGAAGGAGGGGTGGAGCTGAGAACCTTGCCTTAAACCTCAGGACCTCCTACTTCCTTTGGTGAGTAGTTCCATTACAACTATCAAAACTATTTTGGTCTGTCTTTTGTGAGTGCCAAGCCACGGCCCCCATCCTTTGTGTCTGTTTTAAATATTTTGCTCCCACATTTACCAGGTCTGAGTGTTCTCTACTCCCGAGTCTGCTGGGTATGTAAGAGTCAGGATGGTCAGCCACCTCCCTGACAAGGCAGACATGGCTAGGATGAGTTGGAAGGCTTGGAAATGTAAGAATGGTAACAATGCCACAGGGTTGTTTTGTGTTCTGTATGCATGTGTATCAGTGCACCACATTCATGTCTGGTGCCGTAGGAGGCCAGAGAGTGTGTCAGAGCCCCTGGAACTGAACTGCAGATGGTAGTGAGCCACCCACGGGTGTGGAGAGTCAAACCCAGGAGCAGCAGGCAATACTCTTAGCCACACAGAGCCATCTCTCCAGCCCCCACAATGCCACTGGGTTTTATTTGCTCCAAGCTGGAAATAGCCACACTAGAGAGACCCTGCCTGCTGGCATTCTCGTCGCTGTGTCTCTGTCTCTGCTTGTTTGTTTTTTCCTTTTCTGTCCACAAAATGATCTAATCTTGACTTTGGAAAACTAGAATGACCACTTGCAAAAAATAGGCTCGCCAGGAGGTAAAGCAACCTGTGCCCTAAAGAGAAAAGCGGAAGGAACTGAGGAGAGAAAGATGCCTCAAGACGAAACATTTTATGCAAGTAAGCAGAATGTTTATGCAAGTTGCGGAACCTCTGGAAGCCACAGTGGACTGCAGGAGCCGAGCTAACTGAGCACACTTAACATGTCTTTCACTTGGGTAAGTCTGGAAGGCAACTGGAAGACGCTTGAGTCAAAAGCTTCAGAAATGCAGTGTTGATTCTTTAGCTAGGTTGTTCTCACCCTAGGAAATGCTGGCCTCAGGACAGCTGCATACCTGCTCTACCTTGAGTCACAAAGTTGTGGTCTTTGCCTTTGAATGATTTGATGGCATGGAATGGGTTAATTCTAAAAGAAGGCATCTAGACAAACAGCACAGACATTCCTACATAGGCTTCTGGCTGTTTGGTTTTCTCTTTTCCTTCCTTCCTTCCTCCTTCCTTCCTTCCTTCCTCCCTTCCTTCTCCCTCCCTCTCTCCCTCCCTCCCTCCCTCCCCCCCCCTCCAAAACAGGGTTTCACTGTGTAACACCCTTGGCTGTTCTGGAACCCTTTTTGTAGACCAGATTGGTCTGGAACTCACAGAGATCCACTTGCCTGTGCCTCCCAAGTGATGATAGGATTAAAGTCTCATGCCACCACCTTGTAAATCTTAGTATATTTATATATTTTAGTTGTGTGTATCTGAGTGTGTATTGGCATGCACATACAGCACATTTGTAGAGGCCAGAGGACAACTTGTGGGATTCAGTTTTCTCTTTCCACAGCACTAGTTCCAGGGATTGAATTTAGGTCATGAGGCTTGATGGCAAATGTCTTCACTGGCTGAGCCATCTTCTGAGCCCTTATTTTCTGAGACAAGCTCTTACTGTGTACCCCAGGGCCCAGAACTTTAGTGGGTGGTCGTCCTGCATCAGTCAGCATTTCTGAGTAGTTAGAGACAAATCTACCAGGGATTTGATCTGTTCTAAACCTGATCAGGATTGATGAACATTTGACTTGGGATTTATAGGTACCTGTTCAGTGGCAGATGGATGGGGTTTCTGAAGCAGATTGGGTTTTATGATTGTTGGGGATCCCAGTGTTCAGTCCTTGCTAAATATGTGGCTTCTGGTAACTTACACCATCTGTACTTTAGATATACAGAGTTCAGTGCAGGCAGCTACAGAGCCTCCCTTCTCCAGACCTCAGTTTCCTCTCTTACAACAGTGACCTCATAGCTTCTTCAGATGTAGAAGAAAACTTCTGCAAAGCACTTAGCAAAGAGGGCCCAGATACAGGTTTCCTTTCTTCTGTGTGCCACAGCAAGGAAGCAATGTCTTCCAAACTGCTATTACAGCTAGACTCCCAGGCCGGAACAACAAGACAGATAGTGGTTTTCTATCACTGAAGTTTCTCAATGGCATTTTTTTTGTTTGTTTTGTTCAATAGTTTCTATCCTATTTTAGCTTTAAAATTTAAAGTTTGTATTTAAACTTACAATGGAGTTAAGTCTCAGTTACTCCCACCCCCCCCTTTTTTATTCTGTGCATTCATGGCTAGGCTGGAAATCTCTATATAGACTAGGCTGGTCTTGAACTCACCAAGATCTGCCTCTGCCTCTTGAGTGTTGGGATTAAAAGGGCATCCTATCAACCTTGGCTTACTGTTTGATTTTTTTTTTTTTTTTGGTTTTTTGAGACAGGGTTTCTCTGTGTAGTCCTGGTTGTCCTGGAACTCTCTCTGTAGACCAGGCTGGCCTCGAACTCAGAGATCCACCTGCCTCTGCCTCCCAAGTGCTGGAATTAAAGGCATGTGCCACCACTGACAGACTTTGTTTGTTTTTTAAAGATTTATTTATTTTATCATACAAGTACACTGTTGCTAAAAGGACATTGGATCTCATTACAGATGGTTGTGAGCCACCATGTAGTTGCTGGACTCGGGAACTCTGGAAGAGCAGTCAGTGCTCTTAACCGCTAAGCCATCACTCCAGCCCTATTTGTCTTTTTTAAGACAGGGTCTTATGTAGTCTAGGCTGACCTCAAACTTACTATGTAGCCAAGGCTGGTCTTGAAGTGACCTGAGTCCAAAAAATGCATTTAGTATTCCTGTAATCCCACAACTGTTGATGAAATTATGGTAAACTGAAAACTAGCTGTACATTCTCAGGAGCCCAGTATGCAGCCAAGCAGAAGCAGGAACAGGATAAATCTAGAACTTTCTAGTGAGTGCAATCTTACAACTGTAACTTTTTAGTATCTGATTGCTGAGTTCTCTAAAGGACTGTAAAGACTCCATAAATCATGAAACACAGTTTGTCCTGAGCTGAGCAGGTTGTATATAGTGTCCCCAGGTTGAAAAGTGAGTCTCAGGTCCACCTCCAGCCCACTGAAGGAGTCCTGTGGCCACTGGACTGACATCTTCCCAGTTGCCAAAAATACACTTTCAAGGGTTTTTTTTTCCCCCTCTGCCCCAAAAGATGCCTGAGATTCTCCACTGCAATCTGGAAGACATTGTCAGTAGATGTTACCAGGCCCTGAAAAGCCTGGGTTCCTTCCACTGTGTTAGCTTTGGGCTCTGAAAGAACTCTTCTGAAAAGACAGACAGACAGACAGAGAGACAGACAGACAGACAGACCTGTGGGGCAGTTCAGCAAGTAAAGGAGCTGCAGCCAAACTTGACCACTTGAGTTCTATCCCTGTGGTTCACATGGTGGAAAGAGAGAACAGATTTTGAATATTATCCACCTCCCTGCCCCACCCCCCACCTCCACCTCTGGTGGCATGTGTCCCTTCCCACATACATACATACATACATACATACATGTAATAAAAACTTTGGTAAAAGGAAAAACAGATGGCAACTATATCTTATTTCCTCCAACTGTCCAAGCCCAGGCTAAATATTATCAACAGGACTCCACCCAAACTACACGTCTGAATTCAAACACTAGTTCCCCACCAGTGGCAACTTTCAACTGATCCTGCAAACTGCAAAGGCTCTTGATCAAGAGAGCAAGGCTCAAAGCCAGGACTTAGGAGCTCTGTCCTTCCTGACCTCCAGGCTTTTCCAGTCAGCCCCAGGTTTAACGCCCCTTGAAAGCACTGACAGGGAGAAGCAGGCATAACTCGTTTTATTACTCAACAAGATGTGCGGTTGCAGCATCCTGGTTTCGCAAATGACCTTTTCTGGAAACTCAGAAGTCACATGTTACACCTTGCAGGGACCCAGTGTTTGAAGAACATTCCACACTGACTTCTTGTAACACGTTTTCAAACACTTTGTAAGGGGTCTTCCATGTTCCTTCCTCTGGATTGCAAAATAACCATCTCCATGGGGCTCCCATACACAGGAACATAGACACTCTGACAAACTGCTGAGCAGATCTGACTGCTGTGGCCTTAGAGAGGCTCTGTCATAATTCCCAAGGTTAAAAATGAGGGAATCCTAGATATTTAATTTTAAGGTCTGGTAAAACTTTTAGTGCAATGACACTAAAATATTCTTCTTTGGAATAATATTTTGCCACTAATAAAAGGAACCAAGAATACATGAACATTCTGTTGTTTTAGTATTAGTCAAATTTAAAGACAGACCTTCTAAAAAGTGGCATTTAACTTTATTATTTATTGGTCTTTATTATTCTTTTTTTTTTTTTTTTTTTTTTTTTTTTTGGTTTTTCGAGACAGGGTTTCTCTCTGTAGTCCTGGCTGTCCTGGAACTCACTCTGTAGACCAGGCTGGCCTTGAACTCAGAAATCCACCTGCCTCTGCCTCCCAAGTGCTGGGATTAAAGGCGTGTGCCACCACCGCCCAGCGGTCTTTATTATACTTATTTGCGTGCGTGCGTGCGTGCGAGATGCCTGTGGAGGCCAGAGAAAGATATTGGGTCTCCTGGAACTGGAGTGACAGGTAGTTGAGTTTCCTGATGTGGGTGCTGGGAACTGGCCTTGTGTCCTCTGGAAGAGTAGCAAGTGCCCTTAACCACTGAGTCATTGCTGTTGTTGTCTTTGTCATTGTCATCAAGATGGGGTCTCACTATGTAGCTCTGGCTGTCCTGGAACTCACTATGTTGACCAGGCTGATTTCTAACCTATAAAAATCCACCTGCCTCTGCCTTCTGAGTGCTGAGATTAAAGACATGTGTTAGCATGTCTGGGTTTTATTATTATTATATTTATGTGTATGTTTGCCTGCATGTATGTATGTATGTGTACCAGGTGCCTGTAGAGGCCTGAAGAGGCCACCGGATCCATTGGAACTGTTGTTACAGGTAGTTATTAGTCACCACATGGGTTCTAGAAACAAACCCGTCCTCTGCAAGATCAGTAAGTGCCCTTAAGTGCTGCGCTCTCTCTAGAGCCCCGATTATCATCAGTTACAGACTGGACTTTAAGAAGTGAGAACAGTGTGGCAGTATAGCACAATGGCTTGTCCAACATGCATGAAGCCTTGGTCCAATCCTCAGTATCACATCAAAAAGGGAAAACTTCTTCAGAATCCATCTGTTTACTTACACTTTTTTAAAAGTAAAAATCACTTAGGTAGGGGCTGGGAACTTGCTCAGTAATTAAGAGCACTGGCTATTCTTCCAGAGGAGCTAGGTTTCTATTCTCAGCCCTGATAGGGTAGCCAACAGTCACTTATAACTCCAGTTTTAGAGAATCTAATGGCCTCTTCTGGCCTGTCCAGGCTCCTGTACACTCAGGCATACACATAAATAAATATATCCCCAACAGGTAACTTTTACCTCAGACTCCTGTCATGGGGCCATAGCTATGGTACCATGCCAGTTCACTATCTTTTTTTTTTTTTTGGTTTGTTTGTTTATTTGTTTTTCAAGACAGGGTTTCTCTGTATAGCCCTGGCTGTTGTCCTGGAACTCACTCTGTAGACCAGGTTGGCCTCAAACTCAGAAATCCACCTGCCTCTGCCTCCCAAGTGCTGGGATTAAAGGCATGCGCCACCACTGCCCAGCACTACCTTTTTTAAAATACAAAATTATAAAAATCTGACAGGCGGCCTGGTCTACAGAGTGAGTTCCAGGACAGCCAGGGCTATACAGAGAAACCCTGTCTCGAAAAACCAAAAAAAAAAAAAAAAAAAAAAAAAAAAAAAAAAAAAAAAAAAAAAAACTGACAGGCGAGGCTGGAGAGGCAGCTCTGCAGTTAAGAGTGTGCA